GACAAACAAAAAACGAAATTCGATTTATCAAGCTACATCAAGGAGGTCTCATGTAACACTATAACGTCTACGATAGATCCAATGAATGAACTGCATAAGTGAAATTAAACGATTTGCAGTGGAAGAATTGATCGACATGTGGATGAGATAAACAAACGAATTAAAACATAAGGTCTTGTACAAATTTTTATTTTTTTAAAACGCATAATAATGTTTTTTATTTAAAATAACTTTTTTTTTAAGGTTTGCGATGTGAATGATGGCCTTATCAGTTTTGATTACAAGAACGAGTTAGATTAGCAATGTCTTAAATTTTCATCGCCATCACCATCGTATGACAGTTTTCAACTCACAGAGAGACACACCTGGGCACCACGCAAATTAGAATTTTAAGTGTGCATATTATATCAAAAAAATATATTATTATTAAAACTTGTGGTTTAAATAAAACAAATCAATTTCAAAAACAGAAATGTTTTCATTTATTTTTTTTACTTTTAAAACAAACTTATACAAAATAAGGTATACAAATATTGAAATAAATTAATTTAAAAGGTTAAACAAAAATTAAATTAATAAAAAAATATATATTTATTTATTAGTAGTATGCTTGCATACAATTTTTTTTTCTTTTTTGGCATTTTGAAAAAACAATTTTTTTCTTTTATGGGAAAAGAAAGCTTAATTTTTAGTACTAATTTGAATAAGATATTTATCAATTATTATTATACACATTAAAATATTTAAGTTTTCATCAACACGTCCCTTAATCGTTGTATACCGTTGTATAGTGGTATTACATGGTAGTTGGTATATTATATATTTAAAACAATTTTTTTCAGAAAATATATTCTATAAACCATATATTTATATTTATAGCATAAACCATAAATATTTTCATTATCAAATCATCCAGTACGCAATCACCACCATTTAAGCGGTACAAACCGTCTGTAATAGGTGCAATGGGAGTCATAGTGAGAGCCTGCACGTGGCGTCCCCCGCATAGCCAGACTAGGATATATCGCTAACTAATCTCACCACCACCGGGCGAATAAATGTTATAAAAGACTCTTATTGATTTCTGCACACCGTTATCAATAACATTAAAATGAATACGACAATAGCAGTTGCTATGACTTTTCTGAGGGATGTCGCTTGCATGTTAAGTGAATCCGATGCTATTTCTGATATAAATATATATCGTCGTTGAAATCCTTCCTGATCAGCCAAGGTATTCCGACCAGAGCTACGACTTCTGATGAGAAAGTTGCATTGTTTAGGTTTTGTGCTTTTATATCTCTGCGGGCTATTATGGAGCTTGGCGAAATACGTAATTACAACCATAACCCTCCCCCTGCCGATGCGGGATGATTTGGGGACGGTTGATAAGCTCGTATAGGGTATCTGCTGATATAGTATCACACGTAGTGGAGAATTATAGGGTGAGGAACAGCATGATTGGCCGTTGTTTGATTGAGTTACCGGGTTGTCAGATTAGCAGCCCTGGCATGTATACTAGTGATTTGAGAGTGCCTATGGTTCCGGGACAAGTAGTTGTAAAAAAAACGAGTACTATTTCTACGCTGGAGCGAATGCGGCTAACATCTCACTTCCGAATGGGATTTTATCAGCCAAAAAAAAAAAAAATGACCACGATAAGAAGAAGATGGGTGCAATTAAAAGTTGCATATTTCATCATTTATTCAGCTATGATAAGTCATATAATCGTTACTGAACTAGGCCATGATCCACACAATTAACGTCCTTCCTAATAACGAGAAAAAAATCATATCTTTTTCCAAATATATATGCAATAAATTTTCAGTCCAAACGCAAAGCCACCATACTACAATCTTGCATAGCAAAATAGTTGGATTATTTATCTGGATGCGACAAATTTGTAACTATTTATAATATATTAATAAAGCTTTATATATGTTTAATTTACTTATTATGATTACTTAAGATACGGATGGGGATGTCTCAGAACTTGGGGAATTTCAAATGGCATGAAGGTGACCTTTTGGTTTATACGGTGAAAAATCTGTTAAGAAAATGTAATAAGAAATCGAAAATTGGTATGATGTTAGAGACTGATATTGAGTACCCCAGGTCTCTTCATGACAAACATTCTGATCTACCATTTATACGTAGTAGCACCAGATGGCTAGAGGCTGGGCTTATTCTTACTAAAGTCCACAGAATTCTTAAAATATTAACAAAAAAAAAATATCGCAATGGCAAATTCTAAATTACCATCAACTTGCTTACGGAGTGATATGTATAGTTCGCGTTTCAATTTTGCTCATGTGTCTAAATACCCATTAAAATACGGGGTAAATCAAGTTCGAAAATATTCAAGTGTTTTTAATGAGTGGAATGTTGCATATAGATGTAAACGGTTCAATAATTGTGATTATGTTTGCAATGCATATGTTTGTTGGAGCAATTTCGAAGGCGTAGAGAGACAGCCCGAGTTCGGGATAAGAACTTTCGCAATCGAAGATATCAATGCATTTTTCGCATTTATGCGCTTAATGCATTGTAAAAAATGCAGACAACCACTACACCGATGGTACACAATCGACACATCAATCGCAAGAAATTGGAGTTTACTCACGCATGACAAGTTTGTAAATTATGTTGACTTAGACATTGAATATATTAACTTGTAATTTTTTTTACTAATATTAGAATTAAGAGTTAGGATTGTAAAATAAATATTTTTACTTAAAATAAACTTATTTTTTGGTTTAAAAAACTAATGCCTAATTTTATTATTTAATATAACGTAAATTATAATATACTTAAAACTTCATTTTTGGTTAACTATATAATATCAAGCGGTTCAACTGATTATTGCAAGTATAGTCTAAAAAACTATATTAAATATTTAAATTTATATATATATATATATATATATATATATATATATATACTATTAGATAGAATATAATATAATTTTTAGGTATGTAGTTTTAAATCGCCGCATCAGTCTGACGCCGAAAAAATCGTTATTAGAATTGTCGTACATAACATGAATATGTATCATAAAAAATAATAAAAGGGACAAAAAAATAGTCGTTAGAAATCTTTGACAATACCTTTGATAATATATAGTATAGACCGACCGTATGATGGCGACAAGCAAGAGGGTTTCTCAGAACTCTATACACCATATGAACCCTTAGCGTGTATTATACAGGTGCAAATAATTTGACCGTAACATATGACAACTGCGTTTTAAGATCTGGGGTTTTGGTAGCGTACAGCATATGAACCCTTAGCGTATATTATACAGGTGCAAATAATTTTACCGTAACGGATGACACCTGCGTTATAAGATTACGTTTTTTGGTTAGCGCTAATGGCGAGAAAAAAAAACGCCTAATTTTTACTGTTTAAATTTATATACATCAATTTTGTGTTTTTTTTAAAACAATTATCATATTATAATCTTAATATTATTTTATTACCGCATATAACATATTAACGCACTTAATCTGATAGCTTAAATAACATATTAACACATATTAACGCACTTAACACATTTTTTAAGCTTTTCAACCTATTAAACATAATATTACATATTTTTAACATATTATTATTATTTTAGTAAACTTATTAAATTCTTAAACATGTATAAGTGTAGTTTGTGTGATAAATCATTCTCTACAAGCTCTAATTTTAATAGACATTTAAAAGTCCACCAAGGTATTAGGTTTGCATGCGGAGAATGTAATTTTGACTTCAAATATCAGGGGAATCTATCTAGACAATTTTTGTTTATACTAAAAAAAAAAATGTGATTAAATTTAATAAAATATAACATTTATTCAGCAGGTGCGGGGCGAAACGGGCGTCCAGAAAATCCTCTTCAACAGAGGGCATCGGTTATACAGCACACATCGCACATGCCTTCAACATCTGGTTTAGGTTAGTAAATGAATTATTTTATACAAGTATATAGTGATTTTATTTTTTTTATAAGTGAAACGTGAAACACATCACCAATATTAAATTAAAATATATTTACTTTAACACTATGGAAAGAAAAAAAATTAGCTTATAAACAAATATATTCACAATATATCATTGAATAGATATTTAAATTTAATTTTAAAAAAATATATCTATTCATATATTTTATGGTTATAAGCAATTTTTTCTTTTTAATAATTCAAACCGTTCAACCATATTTAATATTAAATCTATACTGAAAAATTATTTTTTCCAATGGAGGTCGACAGACAGAACAACAGTTTTGGGAAAGCGAAGACGACGAAACATTTGTCCAAGCCGAAAATAATATGGCGTCCACTTCAAGAGTTGATACTGGTTAGTGAAAAATATTTATACCGCATTAATTTTTTTTTTATACGTTGGTTAGGTTAGGTTACCGCATTAGGTTATTTATACGAAACATTCGATATAAATTATTTAGTAAAAAATATATATAGTTATGACTTTAATATATTGTTTAGAGTAAATATTATACATTTCGCCCTAACGTCCTGGTCAATTTTTTTTCACTTTATTAATACTTGGACACATTTTCACTACAGCGTAAATATTATACATTTCGCCCTAACGTCCTGGTCAATTTTTTTTGAATTTATTTACACTTGGACACATTTTCACTACAGCGTAAATATTATACATTTCGCCCTAACGTCCTGGTCAATTTTTTTCAATTATTAACACTTAGACACATTTTCACTACAATGTAAATATTTTCACGGTTTATATTAAGTAAGGCCATTATTATATTATTAGTGTAGATAAAAGAACGTTCGAAGAACTGTGTGACAGCGAAGGCGATGAGGCATGTTTGCAGGCTCTTGATAATATAACGGTCAACAGAGAAAACAACGCAAATAATAAACGGTTGAAAAGCCACCGTTTAGCTGCAGTAACGAGAGAAGAATTCGTTTTGACCACCACAGGGTTTAGAGGTTTATGTAAAGCCTATTATAAGACAAATTTTAATCAATTAGCGGACTATGAATCTTTCTTGGCTGATACCAAACCTCAACTAATCGAACTTCTTAAGACACTCGTTGCTGAAAATGCTATCAAATATACGTTGAAACTTGAGTCGACTTACAAAATCCCATCCACCGAGGTTCTTGAAAACCGGGCTTTCAAGACGTCTGCGAGGACATTGCTACCTGAGACCATCATTGAAGACCAAATAACTGATGACTTTAACAAATTATTAGTTGAAGAAGAAGACATGGCTGGCAAAGGATCTTGGTTTTCTCTGGAAAAGATTGATGGTATATTAGTAGATGTGTTTAAATATTCGCTATTCGGTGGCTCATCGTATGTACCACTCCCGGAAGCCATTGAAAAATTAGTTTCCCCACGCCGTTGACTGAAGTAAAGAAATTTGAGAAAAATAATAAAGAAGTGTCCATCAATGTTTATGGTTTTAAGAAAGGTAATCGCACGTATAAAAACAAGACAAAGAACAACATTCCTAACCATAACAATGAAAAAAAGATTACATTATTATTTCATACCGAGTATGCACCATTGAGCAACCGAATCATTTCGATCTGTTTATACTTCGATGATGGGAAAGGCAACTTTCATTATTGCTATATCAGAAACCTAACACGACTGGTTGGTCAGCAAATGTCTAAAAATCACAAAGAAAAGGTCATATGCAGAAGATGTTTCCAGGCTTATGTGGATGAAGCAGGAAAAACCCCAAAGGAATCCAGACTGGACGAGTATAGAAGAATATGCAACAAAAATAAATCTGTGACGCCAATTCTACCCCCACCAAAAACTTATATGAAATTTGAAAATTATGGTAATACTCAAAAACACGATTTAGTGACTTATGCGGATTTTGAGTGTTTGTTGAAGAAACCAGCTGCAGATAGTCATTTTGGGAAAACTACTGTTACCCAAAGACCACGTGCCCATGAATTATGTGTACTTAGTCAAGCCTAGCGAGGATGTTCCAAAAGAGTTGTTAGATCGATTTATTATACCTCAAACTCCAGTTATTTACAGCGGTTATTACAGCGGTTTTTATTAAAACAGCCAATTAAATGATGTACCAAAACATTTTATTCAAAGTATTACCGATATAGCACGGAATATCGAGCAGCTTTTAAACGTTAATACCCCTATACGTATGTCGACACAGGACGATAGCAACCATAAGGCTGTCGTGAACGGCGGTCAATGCCCTCTCTGTAATTGCAAATTTTCAATATTAAATCATCCGGTACGCGATCACCACCATTTAGGCGGTAGATACAGACAAACTGTCTATAATAGGTGCAATTAAAAAATGAAAAAGTCCAATTTCGTAAGTTGTATTTTCCACAATTTATCGTCTTATGATAGTCATATAATCGTTACTGAACTAGGCCATGATCCACACAATTAATGTCATTCCTAATAGCGAGGAAAAATTCATTTCGTTTTCTAAATTTATATCGAATAAATTTTCAGTCCGATTTTTGGATAGTTAACGCTTTATGGCCAGTAGTCTTGACAAATTAACAAATAACCTTGCCCGATCTGACAAGTCTAAGTTCCGTTCTGTGTTGAGTGCATATGGGGCGGACGATATAGATTTGGTGACTCGTAAAGGTGTTTACTGTTATGAGTATACAGACTCATAGGAGAAGCTTGAAGAACTGTGTCTACCCCCGATAGAGCAGTTCTATAGGTAAAATATAATAACTACTATACATAAACTAATAATAAATCATTTTTTATAGTTCACTAACGGAAAGTAATATTTCTCAAAATGACTACGACCACGCGTTGAAGGTTTTTAAACCACTTCAAATTTAAAACTTTAGGGGAATATAGCTTATGGTAAGTAATATATAAATATATTTATTTATTTTATTGATAAATAATTATTTTTAGGTATAATGAGTTGGATGTACACATTTTATGCGATGTCTTTGAATCGTTTAGGGAACTTTGTATAAATACATATTCTCTAGATCCCTGTTTTTACTACACATTACCCGGATATTCTTTTGATGTTTGTTTGAAACATACTAAAGTTGAACTAGAATTTTTGTCTGACTACGATATGCTTTTAATGTTTGAGAATTGTAAAAATATATAAATTTACAGAATAATAATAACTTAATTAATATATAAATATATCGATTAGGCATAAGAGGAGGACTGACACAAGCATCGAAAAGATACTCCAAAGCCAACCACCCTAAAACACCGTACTACAATCCTGCAGAGCCAAATAGTTGGATTATTTATCTGGATGCCACGAACTTGTAACTACTTATACTATATATATAGTAATAAAACAGTATATTTGTTTAATTTACATATTATAATTACTTTAGATACGGATGGGCAATGTCTCAGGCTTTACCTTTGGGGAATTTTAAATGGTTTGAAGGTACATTCGGATCATAGAGTAAAAAATCTATTAAAAAATGTGATAAGAAGTCGAAAAGTGGGTTGATATTGGAAGTTGATATAGAGTACCCTAGGTCCCTTCACGACAAGCATTCAGATTTACTTTTTATGTGCGAGAGGTTAGCACCAGCTGGTTCTCGCATAAAAAAATTAGTCGCCACCAAACAGAATAAACAGCGGTATATTGTACACCATTCAATCTTGAAACAGGCATTAGAGGCTGAGCTTTTTCTTAAAAAAGTCCACAGAATTCTAAGCTTTGACCAAAGTCCGTGGTTGGGGAGTTATATCTCGCTTAACACAGAAATGAGGAAAAAAGCTATCAATGATTTTCAAAAGGATTTCTTTAAGCTTATGAACAATGCCGTTTTTGGTTAGTATCTAAACATCAAAATAAATATAATATATTATATTATAATATCAAATTAATTATTTTTTAAACAGGTAAAACTCTGGAGAATGTTTGCAATCGAATGAAAATGTCACTTGTATGCAGTCGTATATGCATGCATATGTATATTTATTATTATTATTTTATGAAGTATTATTGTATCATATCTAAGCTAAATATTTGAAATCATATAACTTACTATATGAATTTATAGAATAAGAATCCTTAAATTTTTATACAAAATCAAAAAAAAGATAAAAAATACATATAAATTTAAATGTAACAATAACAACAAAGAAAAATATATCAACACAACGAATAAATTAGAAAAATATATTAAACATAGGGTGTACCCTTGTTACAACATACACAGGTAAATCAATCGATTTTAGAATAGTGCCGACTTATACCCATTTTCCTCTGATACTATTTTTTTTTTTTTACCTTAAATAAATAATATTGTTTATGGTCTGACTCAGCGTGTGTTCAAAGTCTTATGCATAAACAAACATTGTGTTGTTTTATTATTTTATTCAACAATTCATACATTTTTTTTATAATTAAACTATCTTAACATAGTCCGAGAGACTGGCCTGGTCTCAATTCTCTTGAGAAGCGTATGCATCTCGAGAGATCCAATTTCATTGAATAATATATTCACTTGGAATTTGGATGTTCTCGCCAGCATAGGAAAACTTATACTTATATTTGTAATACTTTCGAAAGTAGGTAAGAATTTACCAATTTACCGATTCATCCATACGTGTAATCCCAAGTGGCCAGAGTTCATGGATAATTGACAGTTTCAGAAACGGGGTGATTCACATGCCTAAATTATACTGATTATTCTGCAAGATATATCTCACAATTTGTACTCATCAATTATTTTAGAAATACTTAGTTATCAGTAACTTAGAAATATGCACTACTATGAAAAGATTTCAATATTTGGTTATACCTAAATTTATAAACACCACGATACTGTCAAGTCATAATTCATCGAAACCAACGAGATTCCAACTCTCAATTCGTATATTTCTATCAACTTACGATAGTGACACTAAATCGTACAATTTTTCTTTGTTTAAGGTTTATCAAATAGCCGTTGCGTAAGTTCGCCCAGTGTCTTATTATTGAGATACTCACTGGGTCTTGATATTGGAGTGTAGCCACTCTTTCCCACGTTTAAGGAAGAAATAAATATATTTATATGCAAGTTTGAGGGATACTCTACGTCTAGTTCTAGACACATCCCGATTGAGAATTTGTCAATTTTACTATACAGCAGGTTTTTTTTTTTGATAGGTAAACATCGGTTTCCTTTCGAAAAATGTCGGTAGACAATGATTTTTACACAGCCATAATCTATGTTCTACGGTTTATTTAATCAACTAAAAAAATTGATGTCCTTGTAAAAGAAATGGGTTTTAAAATGTTAAAATCAATTGCAAAATATGTTTACACATTTAAACTCGAAAATATGAAAAATAGTGTTTAATTATTAAATACGCGATAGTATAAACACTTAATAAAATATGCTGTGTAGTTATTTGTCGTTAACTGCGTACTTAAAATTTTCAGAAACTTCCGAGAACTGCTGAAATATATGATTTGAGCTAAACGAAGACATGTGTTACGAATATATTAAAGAAAATATATAAAATACAAAATTGTGTTAGTTATATGAAGACAACAAAGATGATATCAGACGAAGTCATTTACAGATTTTGTTGGTGGTAGTTAAATAATTATAAGTAAGTCAGTTTTCACATAAGAGTCGCAACGGTTTTAAAATTAATCAAATAGTATTACTCAGAACATAGCGCATCAAATTTAAAAACTCAGATTTACCGTTGGAAAGTCTGTAGGATTTCAGAACGATGAAACATCGTTGAGTTTATAGTAAAATATTACTTAATACTTGTTTTTTAAGGATTGTTTAAATTCAATAGAATATTATGATATAGTTTAAAAAGAGCAAATAAATATTATTGAACCAATGCCCACTGCTCGAATTTCTTGCATTGCTAGATTGCATTAAGGCAATTTATGTATGCGCCACCATATAGTTTCAGCCAATTACATTAAAATAACAAAGTTTTCTTGTATTCATGAGTTTTCGTTATATAGTCTATAATTTACACAGTGAAAACTAGTTTTTATAAGACGATTTTTTTATTTATGTTATTATAGACTGGAAATATGATTTGACATGGATAAAGTGTTTATATTCTAGCAATGAAAGACATTCAAGGAGTGGACGTTGGTTCAATAATTCTCTTCCACTCTTTAGAAAACATATTATAATATTCTACTGAACTCAAACACTTCTTTAGAAACAAGTACTAAGTAATACTTTACTATAAACTCCACGATGTAACATCGTTCTGAAATTATACAGACTTTCTGACGCTAAATCTGAGTTTTTAATTTTGATACGTAGTTCGGTGTAATGTTCTTAAA